GCTTCCGTCTGGCCACTCTACCATAAAGTCCTGATTGGTGGAATGCTGCAGAGATGATTGTCCTTCTGGAAGGTTCTCCCATCTCCACAGAGGAACTCTGGAGCTCTGTCAGAGTGACCATCGGGTTCTTGGTCACCTCCCTGACCAAGGCCCTTCTCCCCCGATTGCTCAGTTTGGCCGGGCGGCCAGCTCTAGGAAGAGTCTTGGTGGTTCCAAACTTCTTCCATTTAAGAATGATGGAGGCCACTGTGTTCTTGGGGACCTTCAATGCTGCAGACATTTTTTGGTACCCTTCCCCAGATCTGTGCCTCGACACAATCCTGTCTAAGAGCTCTACGGACAATTCCTTTGACCTCATGGCTTGGTTTTTGCTCTCACATGCACTGTCAACTGTGGGACCTTATATAGACAGGTGTGTGCCTTTCCAAATCATGTCCAATCAATTTAATTTATCACAGGTGGACTCCAATCAAGTTGTAGAAACATCTCAAGGATGATCAATGGAAACGGGATGCACCTGAGCTCAATTTCGAGTCTCATAGCAAAGGGGCTGAATACTTTCGAAAAACCTGTTTTCGCTTTGTCACTATGGGGTATTGTGTGTAGATTGATGAGGAAAAAAATTAATGTAAGCAATTTTAGAATAAGGCTGTAACGGTTTCATCTTCAAATTCATAATTTCCTTCATTAGTCAGCATGGATGAGTAAAGGTTATCATAGATCTGTGATTTTACCATAGTGGTCTAGTTATGATAATACATCTGAGGAAATGCACTTAATGACTTGTAACCATGGTGTTTATGTTCCTCGTCAATATAACATAGTGTCCATTCTTTGCCTTATAAGAGATAAAATCCTGGCGGCAGGTAGCTTAGTGGTTAAGAGCGTTGTGCCAGTAACTGAAAGGTCGCTGGTTCTAATCCCCGACCCGACTAGGTGAAAATTCTGTCGATGTGCCCTTGAGCAAGGCACTTAACCCTAGTTGCTCTGGATAAGAGTGTCTGCTAAATGACTAAAATGTAAATAAAAGGCAGGCTGTCTGTGGCTGTCTCTCAGTAGACCACTGTCACATATCATGTGGAGTACATCACATTTGCTCCCTGTTTTTGAAATGAGATGACAAACGAGTCTTGTCCCTTCATTTCCCAGTCAAATGAGCTCCCAAACGGAGCGGGATTTTCATTTTTTCTCTCTCTGCTCAAAACAACCATTTACATAACACTCTTCAGGACTGCCTTTAATCTGCTTAGCGTTCCTCAATAACTAATGACAAGGTCTATTAAGTGCAGCAATTTGACTTCATAAGAAACAAATTGGAAGAGGTCTCATTGCACCATATATCAACATGCCAACATGATTTAATTACAAATATTTAGGGACCAGGTTTGGTTGGTAAAGGTTTGGACAGGTCAGTGAGTGGGGTTATTCAAGTTCAAGAGGATTTGGAAATCTATCCAGAGAGCGTGTTTCACCTATTTGACCACAGTAAAAATGGGCTTTATCTGTACACAAGTTGTGTTCAAGTTGCCAGCCAGAGAGCATTCTCTCATTGTTTCTTCCACTCGGCTGTAAATGTTGATATCATAGAGTGTCTCACATATTAGAGCATGAGTGAGTGCGTCTGGATCCCTGATGAAAGGCCCATATAAACACAATCCTTTTGATCAGTTCTGAGATCATTTTGAACATGTGGACAGAGGGTGGAGTGTTTTATTTGAATTGTTTAGAGATCATAACCCACAAATGCAGCAGAACCCATTATCATCATCATGTTCTAATAGCCAAGGCATTCAAAATGATATCACCAAGTTAATTTTGAGTCTGTTATGTTGGATTAAACCAGAAAATAAGAGTGTTGGTGTTGATGCTCCAGCCTTCAAATCCAAATCTACCCTTCCTGCTCTGCTTCCTGCCCTGAGGGAAAAGTCACCTACAGCACAGCCCCTGATCTCCACTTCCTCCTCTGGGACACAGCTTCCTGCCAATGAGAGAGCAGAGGAGGGAAGTGGGGCTTAGGGTCAGAGGTCAAAGGTTAAAGTTTCCCTAATAACCTTTTTTTTCCTTCTCATGGTTCGCTTTAGGAGGCAAGTCTGCATTAATCTACAAATGTTTCTCTTATGGTTAATAGGCAACCACAGTTGGCACAAGGTGGACACCATGGAGTGGGTTGGTCCTAGAATTTCCATACTATTCTCCAGTCTCCACCGTGCCCAATGGGCAGGGCACGTTGGGCACGGTGTTTGGCATTTGGAGTCATGGAGAATTAGGTTTATAGCTGCAGCTGTAAGGGCGGGGGGGGGGGGGGGGGGGGGGGGGGGGTGTAGCTGTAGGCCAACGGGCATCATGCCCAGTCAGGGGGAGACCATGGCAAATGGCACAGTCTCGCATACCCCCCCTGTGCCAAGCTGTGCCTCCATACAGCTGGGCTGTAACGTTTAGTTCTCAGCTGCCCCCTGCCTTAAAGCCAGAGCCCACTTGGAATCCCTGACCTCTCTCACAGACCCGCACCCCCATCAGTGGTTCATGAATCCCACCCAAATTAGCTATGTGGGGAACCTGGGCATGGCTCTGCCTGTCTCTCAGCTGTTGAGGCTTGAGCTCCCTCCACCCCACCCCACCCATCCCTCCCTCCATGCATGGTGTTTGTCGAGCAAGTGTGTTAGGCAACATTCTAAAGCAATTTGTTCCAAGGTCGTTTCATACCAACATACTCATTCATCTATAAGTGTGACTATATTTACTTATACAGCACTAGCAGCAACTTTATTTTAGCTGTTGTCATGACAACACACACAGAAATGTCATATTGGAATGAGGTCATTCAAGATGTACTTCATCAAAATGTATCGAAAGAGAGTATTTCTCAACTTCTACTTCTGCGCCTTGAGCTCCAAGACAAAACATGGAGCCATGTCACTTCCTCCTTATCTGGTGAGAATGGGTGACAATATCAGTATTCTGGACAGCTACCAGCTAGACCCCCATCTAGCCCCCTTCATCCCACTGGGCACAGACGTCAATTCAACGTCTATACCACGTTCAACTTAATTTCATTGAAATAACGTGGAAACAACATTGATTCAACCAGTGTGTGCCCAGTGGGATCGTTCATCCTTCATCCACCCACACACACACTCAGACACCGTCTCCTTTCTCTGGTTCCCTCCATCTCTATGTGGTATGCCCTCTCTCCCAGCATGCTTTGCTGTGTGTGCCAGTAGAGGTCATGGCTGGGGCTTCAGAGCCTTTGTGCTGCCCCATAATGGCTCCATTCTCCCTGAGCGGCACTGACTCCAGGCCTCACACATACACTGGCCACCATTGTGACTCACACAGGGACAATGTGGGGACAGACACATGGACGTGGGAGAGAGTTGGTGTGTGTGAGTGTGTGCGGTCGGATTCACAAGTTGTGCGACTTGATGGATTACCACAACACCCTTGCAGTCGCTTTTTAATGTCTTCAGAGGTGAGCAGTTATCTTAGCTTTCCATTACTCTTCAAGAATGTTGACTGTAAACAGATATATTTAATAGTTTGCAAAAGTTCTGTCTTTTGCACAATCAGAGGATGTTTTTTTGTCATGAACTTCGATAAAAGTTCCTGTTAGTGTGTTAACCTTGACTAGGGCAGGTTTGAGGTAATGCCACAAAATCCATCCATGTCACCGTAACTGAATATGATGAAAGAGAAGTCCAAACTATAGCCTCAAGGTGAAATGCCCTTATGCTTTACAATATGGGTGATACTGCACAGCACATTATTAGCCTACATACTGAATGACTTCTGTATATCATATTTCAGTCTCATTCTAAAGCATTCATTATCCTGGCTTCATCCTCTCAGACCTACTGGGAAAGTAGTGCCACAGACACAACAGACCAGTGGAACTGTGGAGCTCTCAGATGGCTAGATCATTTGTCTTGAGTTGTCTTTGGCCTTTAGAAAACAAGTGAGACAGAACAGAGAGGACTATCTGGCCGAGACAAAGCCAGACACGTGAAGGACTGAGGGAATGAAGTGAGAACTCTTCCTCTAGCTCTGGAAAAAGAGAGTGAACCAGAGAGATACTTTCCAATGGGCCCTCATTCTTTCCATGTCAAGTCATGGCCAGGTCATAATGTATCTCAGAGAGAGGGGGAAGGAAGGAGGAGTTTAAAAGCAGAAGTAAAGTTTGGGAGAATGGAGGGAGGGAGATAGTAATGCAGAAGACAGATGAAGAGAAAGAGGGGGAGACTGAGAAGTGAGAGATCAGATCAGGAGATCAGGGAGCCAGCTCTTTTACTGTTTTTCTCCTGAGCCTGAAAACGTGAGTTTGCTGTAAACAGATCAGAACTGAGGTGAGATCATAAAGAAGGCCTGCCAGCAGCCCAAGAGAGAGCGGCCCACCCTGAGCAATGAGTCCTACACATCCTCCCCAACAGGCAGACTGGGAGGGGAGTTGGGGCTGCCTGATTAACCCTTCACTAGCACCACTCGATGTCTGTAGTAGCCCTACTTTTAGTAAAGTAATTGACTTTCACCCTGACATTTTTACTACATAGCCTAGTTTAAATGCATGACACTGACACTGACACCTCAAGTCCAATTTAGGAGAGTTGTAGATAAACAATGAAAACAACTTTGACCCCAATAAACTTGAGTGGGTCTTTGCTGCTGATATTAAATCAGTGTTGAATATGCTCACAGAAAATGATGGCACTTTTTTTTTTGAGTGGACACTGGACATCTGCTGCTATGTTGATTAGAATGGTCATAATTGCCTACATACAGTAGAGTAGACAGACACTGCAATAAGTCAATATTCTATATGACGTGCCGGTACTCAGTACTGGTGTCTATAGGCCTTTTTAGTACAGTGTTTTTCAGCAATGTACTACAGGATGTCTCTGTAGTATGTGGTTGGCCATGTTTATGTACTCCAATGAGACTGTAGTCATGGCAACAGGGTGTATGCGTAGTATACAGTACTGTGTGTTATTATGGGAGGCTAGCAGCATATGGAGTGTCTGGCAGGCACCATATGCAGAGTCACCAGGGAGAAGTCACAGCCAGCAGATTTCACACTTCTCCTGAAGCCTCGGGGAACACTGGTGGGAGTGAGGAGGGGTGAGGGGTCAGCGGTCTGAATCAGATGAGGAGGGGGGGTTCTGGAGTGCCCTACATGCAACATGTTACACTTTTGAGTCATTTAGCATCAATGGAGTCTCGCTGCAACACACCACTTTCTGTTCTCTGTTTTGTGGGTAAGGCATCTAAGGCAGTGTTCATTAACCTAGCCCTAGATTTTAAAGTTGAGCTAAGACGTCTGCTCAGTCTTCTTTGCCAGTATTGTGCCCTAAAGTCTTAACAGAGACAAATAAATACTGTAAGATACTTTATTGCATTGTGAGTTTTTAACACATTGTGATGTCCTGTGATGATCTATGACCTACTCAGATATTTCTCTTTCATGTTACAGGCACCCAAGCTGTTCTGATGAACTCCAGATAACAGCACCACTCCTCATCCTTCAGTCCCAACCTTCAACCCCTACCTCCTCCTCCTTGTCTCCCTGGTGGTCTGGTCGGTCGGAGGGAGCCCCAAGATGACAGACCCTGACGGGGCTGGAGGGGAGGGCCTGGCCGAGGTGAACACCTGCAGCCTGGAGATCGAGAGGAAGTATGAGGTCATCCCTGCCGTCATCTGCTCCATGTGCTGCCTGTTCGGCATCATCTACTGCTTCATTGGTAAGGTCACCACTGGGTGAAGGCCACAAGGCATACCCCAACGATGTCACGTCAACAAGTAAACTAAAGCTTCAGTAACAAGGGTTGCATCCCAAATGGAACCCCATTCTCTATATAGTGCACTACTTTGGCCCATATGGCTCTGTTTAAAAGTAGTGCACTGTGTAGGGAATAGGGTGCCAATTGGGAGGCAAACAATGTAGTAGAGCAGGGGATAGGGAATGTGTATTCAGACATATCATATGTCTGCTAATGTGTTATACAGCAGGGTTCTCCCCAGGATTTTTTAACAAGGTGGTGCTGCTGATTTTTTAACACCTGTAACTGACATTTCCTGCAATCTACAGCAAAACAATAATCATATTAGGGTGTGGTGCCTGGCCTTAAATGATTACAAATAGAGTAAAAAACTGACTTTATTCATTTATTACATTTTTCTCACCAAATCCAACTTAATAACCACAATTGCTTCTTGCTCCTCCACACCACCTCTCTTTTTAGTTTTAATTGTAGGGTAATTTATATGGCATTACATTGCTTTCAGTTGAAATTCTGTAATATTTATATAGTTGGATACGAGTTGCTGATGCCCTAGCCACTGCAATATAACTTTATCTTTAAGCCTTAACTTATCACCTGCATATTTATTTACTGTTAGATTCCTCAGGTTATTGAATCTCCCCCCATTTAAAGTACAACTTTAAATAAGTGTTATTTTCTTTTTAACCCCCTCTCTCCACCTCTCTACCCCTCTCCTCTCTCCCTCACCATTCCCTCTCTCCACCTCTACCCCTCTCCTCTCTCCCTCACCATTCCCTCTTCACCTCTCTTCTCTCCTCTCTCCCAGGATATCGCTGCTTCAAAGCGGTCATGTTCCTGTCGGGCCTGATGTTCGGCTCGGTCATCATCTTCCTGCTGTGCCACAAGGAGCGGGTGCTAGACACCCAGCTGAGTGTGGAGGCCTCGGCGGGTATTGGCCTGGGCATCGGCCTGCTGTGTGGCCTGGTCACCATGCTGGTGCGCTCCGTGGGTCTCTTCATGACGGGTCTGTTACTGGGCCTGCTACTTGCCCTCGCCACCCTGCTGGTCACCCACCAGTTCTACACCCCCACCACCGTCTGGGTGCCCCTGGGGGTGCTGCTGGGCACAGGCATGCTGTTCGCCGTGCTCACCCTGCAGTGGCAGAAGCTCTTCACCGTGTTGTCTACGTCTGTCTTCGGGGCGGCCATCATGACGGTGTGCGCCGACTACTTTGTGGAGATGCTGGCGCTGGCTAGCCACGCATATGAGTGCCTGAGGCTGTCGCCAGCGCCGTCGCTCTGCTGGTACAGCTGGGTGATCATGGGTATCTGGCCGGCACTCAGCTTCATGGGGGTGCTGGTGCAGTGGAAGCTGACGGCCGAGGGGTTCTCACACACTGAGGGTAAGCATCATAGAATTACATATAGAAGTAATGTATATGATCTCTGTGGTAAGCATGGGAGGTAGAGGAAGCTGTTTGTAGAGTATGATGCATCTTTATATCTCAATATGGAGTATGGGTTATATTATGTTCTCTTCACTGCAACAATAGTTTTATGGTGTTAGAGAACATTATTCTGGCATTGAAACAAAACAGATTGTCTCCCAAGCCAGTTTTTTACATTACATTTCAGGTGATTTAAGAATGTCTAATTTTCCCCTAAAGTTCTCATATGCTCTGTAGAATTACTAAGAAATGACTAATTGAGTAAACACGTCTCTCTCTCTCTCTCTCTCTCTCTCTCTCTCTCTCTCTCTCTCTCTCTCTCTCCTCTCTCTCTCTCTCCTCTCTCTCTCTCTCTCTTTCTCTCCTCCCTCCTCTCTCTTCTCTCCTCTCTCTCTCTCCTCCTCTCTCTTCCCTCCTCTCTCTTCCTCCTCTCTCTTCTCTCCTCTCTCTCCTCTCCTCTCTCTCCTCTCTCTCTCTCCTCTCCTCTCTCTTCTCTCCCTCCTCTCTCTTCCCTCCTCTCTCTTCCCTCCTCTCTCTTCCCTCCTCTCTCCTCCCTCCTCTCTCTTCTCTCCTCTCTCTTCTCTCCCTCCTCTCTCTTCCCTCCTCTCTCTTCTCTCCTCTCTCTTCCCTCCTCTCTCTTCCCTCCTCTCTCTTCTCTCCTCTCTCTCCTCTCCTCTCTCTCCTCTCCTCTTCTCTCCTCTCTCTCCTCTCTCTCCTCTCTCTCGTCTCTCTCTCCTCAGTCATCATCAGCAGGAGGCAGAAGCGGGTCCAGTTGATGCGGATCAGACAGAAAGATGTCAAGAAGCGCCAGCAGAGCAGTGGGCAGGAGGGCACGTATCGTCGCAAGCCCGCCCCTGTCAAACGCTACGCCGGAGACCTGCTGGCACCGGTCAGTCTCGCTCTCACACACACTCTATTCTAATCGAATTCCAACATGTAGAACCCATTCCTAGGTTGATTCTGATTATATTCCCCCTCTCCTCTCTTCTCCCCTCTCTCCTTTATTCCTTCTCTCAGAGCTACCTGCAGAGTCTTAGGGACAGACAGATGTGCACAGGCAACTCCCTCAGCAGCCTGGGCACTACCAACCACACAATGATCGACTTTGACTACGAGACAAGCTCCACTGTACCCCTCACCGCCACCACACCTGTCAACAGGGTCTGACGCACCGAGGGACAAGCAGGGGACCACCCACTTGTTTCTTGTCCCTCCTCCACAGTCCTCCTCCCTATGTAGTGTACTGTTGACCCTACAGACTACTCTTTTAGGGCCTCAGCTCTCATTTAGGCAATGTGAGAGTCTATTGAATAATGGATCTTTCGTACATTGAGCTGGAATAGGGCCTTGAATGCTGTCCAAGTGAAGAACAAAGCACCACTCGATCCTAGCACACCTCCAGTGTACTGTACTGTACCTCGTTTGGAATGGCAGACTGGAAGGCGATGGAATGGTTCCTCGGTCTGTGAGCTGTTCCCTGAGAGTGGTTGGTGTTTGGCCCCCCGTTTGATGTGTGCTGTAATCACTCTTTCAATAGACTGGGCCTGTGTGGCCTCTCCCTGTGTTGTGTCTGCTCTTAGCGGTGGCAGGTCCATGTGAAAAGTCTGAAGGCCACTTCTGCCGGAGAGAGAGAAACAGAGAGCACTGAAATGCTTATGGGGTTAGGACAGAGCAGAGTACACAAAGTCAGAAGAAGAAGAAGGAGCAGAAATTATCTCATCTGACTTCTGAGGTTGTATACTTTCTCTGGTGCTTTTATGTGATTGATTGATTACATGTGGGAGAAATCACTTGACTGATGAAAACGGACTGTTCAGAAAGCAATACTGGGAATGGAAATGGATATGAATAGCACGAGAGCTACCTCCTCGAGTGATATCAACTTTTATAATTAGAGTTAACTGTGCTTTAATGACTTGAAATGAACCAGTGGTGAGTAAACTCTGGTCAACTGCCTCGCAGAACAGGACACCAGCTGATGTTGACAAGGCACTGTGACTGGACAAAGAAGAGGACATTTCGAGATACATTTCTCTGACCAGTGTTTGCTGTCTGTGTGAGTGTGTGTGCGTTTGTAATGTTAAGGTGTGTGTATTGATGTTTACTTGTCCCTTTTTGTTAGTAACTGCCTGTATAGTTGAGTGTAGAAGGTTCAGGTCCAGAGAGATACACGGCAGCCATTCTGTGCCTAAATACGATGGAGATTGGCAACTGTTACAAGTGAAATTTACGTTTGTTTTCATTGTAACTGCAGTGCCTTTTTTAGAGGTAGCAATACTGCAATACTATACAATGTTGTTTCAAACCATACTTGGTTATGTCAGTTATTTTGGAGCAGTAGCTTGTTTTCATTACAATTTCTAGGCAGTTTTACCTGTGCAGTACCTGTATTCAGTAATGTATATGATCAATAACATTGAAGGAATATGCTATGGTAAAAATGTGAGCATACATTTGCTGTACTCTAGGTTACTAAGGAATGATCAGTGTTTTTAAAATTGTAATTTACTTTTGTTTTAGAATTTTAGAGGGACAGTAGGCCTACTCTCACTCAGTACTCTCAACTATTCTGAATCTGTACAGAATTGTCAATAGGAAATTGAAAAGATAAACCATTAAATTAGTTTAAAAACAAAAGCTGTCTGAGTCATTTGTCTGAGGCTAAATGGCTCTATTTTCCCTCACTGGTCACCTAGCAACATCAGCGGCCAAATTCTGCCTTGGAATCAGAAACACAGAGGACCTTAAAGGCAACAAATGGGGGTGATTTCCTGCTCCCTGATTGGTTTAAGCAGTGGTGTTGCTGTGGCAGCTCCGAAACTTTAGCAGCCCACAAGTATCATGCATGAAAGCACATGGCTCTCGTCATAGGCTCCTCTGACCTCAAGTATTTTTCTAATCTTGGTGTCTCTGTTGTTAATTAGCCATTGCAATGACATCAGAGTAGGTTTACATCATAAAGGAAACAAGGCCTGTTGAAATTGTGTTATTGTTGACTGTCATGACTAATTTGCACAACTATGTCTTAGATGAAAAAAGTAATTGCATACATATATTCTGAACAGAAATCTAAACCCAATATTTAAAGTACTGGTCCTATGTTTCATGAGGTGAAATAAAAGGTCCCAGACATTTTCCATATGCACAAAAAGCTTATTTCTCTCAAAGGTTGTACACAAATTTGTTTACATCACTGTTAGTGAGCATTTCTCATTTGCCAAGATAATCCACCCACCTGACAGGTGTGGCATAGCAAGTAGCTGATTAAACAGCATGATCATTACACAGGTGCACCTTGTGCTGGGGACAATAATAGGCCACTCTAAAATGTGCAGTTTTGTCACACAACACAATGCCACAGAAATCTCAAGTTTTGAGGGAGCATGCAATTGGCATGCTGACTGCCAGACTGTCCACCACAGCTGTTGCCAGAGAATTGAATGTTAATTTCTCTATCATAAGTCCCCTCCAATGTCGTTTTAGAGAATTTGGCAGTGCCTCCAACTGGCCTCACAACCGCAGACCACGTGTAACCATGCCAGCCCAGGACCTCCACATCCGGCTTCTTGTCCTGCGGAATTGTCTGAGACCAGCCACCCGGACAGCTGGTGAAACTGTGTGTTTGCACAACCGAAGAATTTCTACACAAACTGTTGGAAACCGTCTCAGGGAAGCTCATCTGCGTGCTCGTCGTCCTCACCAGGGTCTTGACTGCAGTTTGGTATCGTAATCGACTTCAGTGGGCAAATGCTCACCTTCGATGGCCACTGGCACGTTGCAGAAGTATGCTCTTCACGGATGAATCCCGGTTTCAACTGTACCGAGCAGATGGCAGACAGCGTGTATGGCGTCATGTGGGCGAGCGGTTTGCTGATGTCAACGTTGTGAACAGAGTGCCTCATGGTGGCGGTTGGGTTATGGTATGGGCAGGAATAAGCTACAGACAACAAACACAATTGCATTTTATTAATGGCAATTTGAATGCACAGAGATACCGTGACAAGCTCCTGAGGCCCATTGTCATGCCATTCATCCACCGCCATCACCTCATGTTTCAGCATGATAATGCACGGCCCCATGTCGTAAGGATCTGTACACAATTCCTGGTAGCTGAAAATGTCCCTGTTCTTCCATGGCCTGCATACTCACCAGTCATGTCACCCATTGAGCATGTTTGTGATGCTCTGGATCGACGTCTACGACAGCTTGTTCCAGTTCCCGCCAATATCCAGCAACTTCGCACAGCCATTGAAGAGGAGTGGGACAACATTCCACAGGCCACAATCAACAGCCTGATCAACTCTATGTGAAGGAGATGTGTCACGTTGCATGAGGCAAATGGTGTTCACACCAGATACTGACTGGTTTTCTGATCCACTCCCCTACCTTTTTTTTAAGGTATCTGTGATCAACAGATGCATATCTGTTTTCCCAGTCATGTGAAATCCATAGATTAGGGCCTAATGAATTTATTTCAATTGACTGATTTCCTTAAATGAACTGTAACTCAGTAAAATCTTTGAAATTGTTGCATGTTGCGTTTATATTTTTGTTCAGTGTACAAAAATAATTTTCAAAAGGTAGGCCTATACACTGAAATGTGAATTCCCTTTAGCTTGTATGAGCATCATGACTATAAAAACATCAATAAGCATGATGAGGTTCAACAGCAACATTAGTACACAATTATAAACCAGTTATAAAATGTGAAAGCTTGTGTCTAAACACCAATGATATCATGTTTCTCTTTGTGGGCAGTGATAAAATATTTACACCATTGCCCTAGAAATGCATAACATGGCGACAATAAACTCACAAATACTTTTTCAGACCCATCCACAGTATCTGCAAGCGAAACGTCAAAAGAAAACGAGAAGTTTCTAACTGGAACACCGTTGAAATCAGTACACATACTGAAAAGAGGGCACACAACAATTGAATAATCCAATCCACATCTGTTGTGAGGGAGAAAATGGCCCCCTGGAAGGCCCCCTAAGATCATAACAAATAGCCTCTCCACACACACAGTCTGATCTAAGCCTAACATGTTTGGGCTGTTTGGAAGAAAAGAGCCAGGCCATAATGATATGAACAAACCCAGCAGGTTACTGCTCCAGAACTATAAAGGCATTTTAATTATGTGGGACGACACTCAATACTCAACCTGATAAAGGTTCTTGTGTTTCAAGAAGAATTCATTTGACATAACATTTCAGTTTTATGTACTTTGACTGTACCTAACTCAATCCTCACTTGAAATCATGTGCCGGTACATATAAATATGGTTATATGGTTTCCAGACCCCTCACAGTGTGAACACAATGTTATCACAGTGTGGTTGTAGTTGCTGTTGTGGTTCCCTGAAAGGTCAATTGAGCACACATCACGTCAGCACCCTATCAAGGCTTATGGTGTCTACTACCCTCTAGTGTCTGGCTCCTAACAGTGCATCCAGCGTTCACGCTTGCTGAGTGGATAGCCTTTGTCTACACTCAGTAGACTGTTCACACGCCAGTACTTGTCTCCCTTGAAGAAGAAGATCTTTCCATTGGTCAAGGTAAAGGCAGCGTCAGGGCTGGAGGGCACCCCAGTGAAGAGGTTAGACAAGGGTTTGGGGTACACGTTGAGGTTACTGGAGAGCAGCTCATCCCACTGCCAATAACCTGTACCCTGAGGAGACAGACAACAGAGGAGAAAGATGATTAGTACAAAACGTTTTTTGTAAGGTGGATATTTGGCATATTCATCACATTCAAGTGGGTAAAAATGCTAAGGCATCAGTTGTTATCATTAATCTATCTATCTGAAACCATAAAGCTCAGTTGTCATTTGTAACAATGTTGAGTTTACTGGTTGAAAAGTATTGATTTAATTGTGCTGTGTTGTGTTCAACTACCTTGAAAAACACCAGCTTCTTATTCTTCTCCAGGTACAAAGCGGCATCAATATTAGGTGGGAGGCGTTTCAGCTCTTTGGGGTACCCGTAGTCCAGGAGAAAACTGGTGTATCTCCACACTTCATCACCTGTGGTCAGAAACAGTTAGTCTGAAATGAAGTGAGATGAACAGTAACACATTCTGGGCCAGATCACTGTCAGTCAATCACTGTCAAGTTTTTTTTACATTTTAGTCATTTAGCAGACGCTCTTATCCAGCGCGACTTACAGTTAGTGAGTGCATATATTTTCATACTGGCCCCCCATGGGAAACGAACCCACAACCCTGGCGTTGCAAGCACCATGCTCTAACAACTGAGCTACAGGGGACCTGTCAAGTAATTTAACACAAGTATTACATAGTTCATACTATCAGTCTTTCTTTTAAAATCGTCTCACGTTACCTAATTTGTTAATCAAAAACATAATACATTTTAATGTCGAGAAAATATTGCACCTTTAAAAAAGTATGTTTTGTTGGTTCTCTGAGAGTAAACGGCTGCGTTCAGGTTCCCAGGCAGTCCGGTCCACAGCCGGTCGATCTTCATGGGTGCATTGTATCCCATGTCAGACACCATCCACACATAATCACCACTGAAGGCAAATGTCTTCCTCCATGGACCTGATGAGAAAGAGGGGCACGAAATAGAACACTGATGTCAACGCGTGCTGTAGGTGGGTGCAGTGGTGGAATCAAACGCAGGACACAGACGGATAATCCAACAGACTTTAGTGATCGCCAAACACGGCAATAGGTCCACTCTTGCCCGAAGGCGAAATACGCACGAAGGCGAACAAAACAAAAGCGCACAAACAGGTGCGTAAATACTCCAACAGTGGAGGGAAGCTCAACCGAGCGAAATACAGGAAACACGCCCTATACACGACTGACAAAAACCAATAACACACAACACTAGACAAACACAACGGGAAACTTATAGAACACTAATTAGGCTTAAACAAGAACAGGTGTGACCACAAACAGACAAAAGCAAACGAACATGAAACATACAACGGTGGCAGCTAGTATTCCGGAGACAACGAATTCCGCGGGAATTATTTGCTAGGATAATAATTGCTTGTCAATGAATTAAATGTAATATAATGGCAATCCTGGTTATATGTTAGAATCCTATGCGTGAACTGCCGACATTATTACGCATATTAATTGATAATGATGGAAAATAGGATATGCATAATAAAATAAATAAATAATAGTTATATAGATATATATATATAGAGGTGAAAGCATTGGAAATGCTTTTGGCGGTTAACCTGCTTCTGTTTTGTGGGTGGCACTGTGTGCTGTTTTCGATGGATGGGTCCTGGCCTCTCAGGGCCTTAGGGATACGGAGGGACGTGGGGGGGATGCTGATCACTGGGATGACGGCTCAACTTGGGATGGGGAGGGGCTTTAGCGGGGGAATTAGTGGAGAACAATTGAAGGGTTACTCCGTAGCAATGCAAATATCACGGTACAGCTATATGGACACTCAATCATTACGCTATTTTTTATTGGTAAATTTACAAACATATATAATGATAAATAGACTTGAAACTTGTATCTCATTATGGTGTATGGTGAAATAAGTATAGCCAGTTATAATTGTAATGGCTTAGCTGATAATAACAAAAGAAGAACAATATTTACATGGCTCAAAGAGAAGGAATATAATATCTATTGTATACAGGAAACTCATTCAACAATTCGAGATGAAGTAGCGTGGAAAAAAGAATGGGGGGGGGAAATATACTTCTCCCATGGGCAAAGAAATTCAAAAGGGGTGATGATATTAATTAATAGTAATTTCGATCCGAATGTGCAAATTGTCCAAATAGATACGCAAGGTAGATGGATTATTTTAAATATGGTATTGGACAATAAACAGATATGGCTCATTAACCTTTACGGACCAAATAATGATGATCCACAATTCTTTGACAATATATATAATAAATTATCAAGCCTGCAAGCAACTCAAGACAATATTATTATGGTGGGGGATTATAATACTGTTTTAAATAGCTCAATGGACCGAAAAGGAAATCACACCACAAACAATCACCCACATGCTCTTAAGGAAATTGTGAATGTCATGGATACATTAGAACTAGTAGATATATGGAGGCTTAAATATGCTGATCTAGTGAGATATACATGGCGGAGACTGAATCAAGCTAGTCGTCTTGACTTCTTTCTTATCTCATTCTCGTTGGCACCAAAAGTAAAAAAAGTGTTGATAGGGGACAGAATGCGGTCGGACCATCATATAATAGGCATATACATTACTCTGACTGAATTTCCACGTGGGCGAGGATATTGGAAATTTAATCAAAGCCTATTAGATGATAATTTATTTATAATTAGAACAAAGGAATTTATAACTGACTTTTTCCAACATAACTTAGGTACAGCGAATCCCCTTATTGTATGGGACACCTTTAAATGTGCCTTTAGAGGCCATGCAATTCAGTACTCATCTCGAAAACAAAAGCAATTTAGGTCAAAAGAGTTTATACTAAGAAAGGAAATAGAAAGTCTAACAGAACAGATAGATGGCAATAAAAACTGTAACATAGAGGCTCAGAATAAATTAGAGGAAAAACAAAAAGAAATGGAAAAACTTATTCAAGAAAGATCAAGTGTAATATATTATAAAAATAAAGCAAACTGGATGGAATATGGGGAATGCTACCAAAAAGAACTTAATGAAACTGGTTACAATTGACGGAGTCACCCATAATTCACCTAATGATATTTTGAAGGAAGAAACAAAGTATTTTAAGCATATGTTTTCTTTTCAGTCGCCTCCATCTCCTCTAACTGAAGCTAATTGTAGAGATTTTTTTCCTATTGATAATGTCAAATTAACAGCCACACAGAAATACTCATGTGAAGGTGAAATTACAGAGGAGGAACTTCTGGATGCAATTAAAGACTTTAAGTCCGGGAAAACTCCAGGGTTGGATGGCATACCAATCGAGGTATACCAAACCTTTTTTGAAATACTAAGAGGACCGTTATTAGCATGTTTTAACCACTCCTATGTAAATGGTAGATTATCTGACACTCAAGAAGAAGGTCTGATCTCATTATTACTGAAACAGGATACAAGTGGAAAATATAAAGATCCAGTCCATTTACAAAATTGGAGGCCCCTTACACTTCAGTGTTGTGATGCAAAAATCCTAGCAAAATGTATAGCGCATAGAATTAAAAAGGTATTGTCGGATATTATTCATTCTAATCAGACAGGTTTTTTACATGGAAGATACATTGGAGACAATATAAGGCAAGTATTGGAAACAATAGAACACTATGGAAAATATGGGAAACCAGGCCTGCTATTCATAGCAGACTTCGAAAAGGCATTTGATAAAGTTCGACTGGAATTCATATATAAATGCCTGGAGCATTTCAATTTTGGAGAATCTCTTATAAAATGGGTCAAAATCATGTATAGTAACCCTAGGTGTAAAATAGTAAATAATGGCTATTTCTCAGAAAGTTTCAAACTGTCAAGAGGAGTGAAACAAGGTTGTCCACTATCGGCATATCTATTTATTGTGGCCATCGAGATGTTAGCTATTAAAATCAGATCCAATAATAATATCAGAGGATTAGAAATACAGGGCTTAAAAACAAAGGTGTCATTGTACGCAGATGATTCATGTTTTCTTTTAGATCCACAACTAGAATCCCTCCACAGCCTCATAGAGGATCTAGATACATTTTCTAACCTCTCTGGATTAAAACCAAATTATGACAAATGTACTATATTACGTATTGGATCACTAAAAAATACAATTTTTACATTACCATGTAGTTTACCAATAAAATGGTCTGATGGTGATGTGGATATACTCGGAATACATATCCCAAAGGAAATAAATGATCTCACTTCAATAAATTTTAATAGAAAGTTAGCAAAAATTGATAAGATCTTACTACCATGGAAAGGAAAATACCTGTCAATTTGTGGAAAAATCACCCTGATTAACTCTTTAGTATTATCCCAGTTTACCTATTTGCTTATGGTCTTGCCTACGCCTAGCAAACAGTTTTTTAAATTATATGACAAAAAAATATTCAATTTTATTTGGAACGGCAAGCCAGACAAAATTAAAAGAGCATATTTATATAATGAATATGAATTCGGAGGACAGAAATTATTAAATATTAAAGCATTAGACCTATCACTAAAATCTTCAGTCATCCAAAAGTTATACTTAAATCCGAACTGGTTCTCAAGCAAATTAGTAAGATTGTCTCACCCACTGTTCAAGAAAGGCCTTTTTCCCTTTATTCAGATTACAACCTCTCACTTTCAGTTATTTGAAAAGGAAATAATCTCCCAAATGTCACTATTTCTAAAACAAGCCATAGAAAGTTGGTTACAATTTCAATTTAATCCTCCAGAAACGACAGAACAAATAATGCAACAAATATTGTGGTTAAATTCAAATATACTAATTGACAAAAAACCTATATTTATTGACAGAATGTTTAAAAAAGGTATAATCTTCGTAAATGATATCATCGGTAGGACTGGTGGAGTTATGTCGCACATGCAGCTAATAAAAACATATGGAAATGTCTGCTCTACCCAAAATTACAACCAAATAATTGCAGCCATACCGCAAAAGTGGAAGAGGAAAGTTGAAGGGGGAGAAAGTAAGGAACTTGTCTGTCGGCCTTGCATTAAAGAACATAATTGGTTAAGGAAAACTGTGATAAATAAAAAAGTATATCAGTTTCACTTAAGGACCAAAGGATTGACAGCAGTCCCATATAGATTGCAAAATAGTTGGGAAGAGATCTTTGACGTACCGATCCCATGGCATAGTGTTTATGAACTGACACGCAAAACGACACCGGATTCAAAAATTAGAATCTTTCAATTTAAATTATTATATAAAATTCTTGCTACCAATAGAATGTTATTTATATGGGGGATACAATCTTCCCAGCTCTGCAGATTTTGCTGTGAAGAGATAGAATCATTAGATCATTTGTTTTGGTTCTGTCCATTTGTAGCTTGTTTTTGGACACAGGTCCAGGAATGGCTAAAGGATTGCAATATTTACCTGGAACTAACCTTGCAGATAGCATTACTGGGTGATCTGAAAAGTCATAGTCAATCAATCAATAATATAATAATACTTTTAGCAAAAATGTTTATTTTTAATTCACAATCTGTAGAAGCAATGAGAATAGAAAGGTTCAGAACTTTTGTAAAACATCACAGTATGGTTGAAATATATATGGCAAATAGAAATCCTATATGGATGGTGTTAAGAGATAGATGGGAGGTATTGAATAGAGTTGAAGGATGGGACTAATAACAAATAACAACAAATAATAACAAAGATAGCTAATAATGTAAGCATACTGTGTCCATAATAAGTATATAGGTTGTATGTTGGGAGCTTTTGGGAAGGAGCACAGTTAGAAAGATATGGCATTTAGAGGCAAACCGGATGGACATCATGAAGATGATCGGAGAGGTTGAGAGTAGAAGAAGTTCAGGAGAAAAAAAATAAATAGATGTGTATATGTATATGTATGTATGTGTGTATATATATATATATATATATATATATATATATATATATATATATATGTATGTGTGTGTGTATGTGTATGTATGTATGTATATATATATATATATGTATATATATATATATATAGATATAGAATTATTGTAAAATTAACTCTGTCCATAAGGTGTAGATAGTGAGTATGGACCGGAAGTAGAGGCCTGGGCGTTGTTGTTCACTAATTTACTCCAAGTAGGGAAAGGATGGTAGGGTTGAAAAGTAATAAAGGGGAATATATATATATAAAAAAAAAAAAAAAAAATTTTTTAAAAAAAGAAAATAAAAAAAATAATAAAAAATAATAATAAAAAATAACAAAAGAAAAAAAACGCCGAATCCTGCCCGAACAAGGGAGAGAGGCAGCCTCGGCCGAAACCGTGACAGTACCCCCCCCCTTGACGCGCGGCTCCAGACGTGCGCCGACTCCGGCCTCGGGGACGACCCGGAGGACGCGGAGCAGGGTGCGTCGGGTGCCCACGATGGAATTCCGTCAGGAGAGACGGGTCCAAGATGTCTCTCCTCGGCACCCAGCACCGCTCCTCCGGACCGTACCCCTCCCACTCCACTAGATACTGGAGACCCCCCATCCGACGTCTCGAATCCAAGATGGACCTCACAGTGTACGCCGGTGCCCCCTCGATGTCCAATGGGGGCGGAGGAGTCTCCCTGATCTCACTTTCTTGGAGTGGGCCAGCTACCACCGGCCTGAGAAGGGACACATGGAACGAGGGGTTAATACTTTTATATTCAACAGGCAGTTGTAATTTGTAACACACCTCGTTCAACCTTCCCAGGACTTTAAATGGCCCTACAAACCGCCGACCCAGTTTCCGACAGGGCAGGCGGAGGGGCAGGTTTCTGGTAGAGAGCCAGACTCGATCACCAGGTGCGTACACCGGTCCCTCACTGCGGTGGAGATCGGCGCTCGCCTTATGACGTCGGAGGGCCCGCTGCAAGTGGAAGTGTGCAGCGTTCCATGTCTCCTCCGAGCGCCGCGCCCACTCATCCACCGCAGGAGCCTCGATCTGGCTCTGCTGCCAAGGTGCCAGAACCGGCTGGTAACCTAGCACACATTGAAAAGGGGTTAGGTTAGTGGAGGAATGGCGTAGGGAATTCTGGGCCATCTCGGCCCAGGGAACGTACCTTGCCCACTCCTCCGGCCGGTCCTGGCAGTATGTTCTAAGAAACCTACCCACATCCTGGTTTACGCGTTCCACCTGCCCATTACTCTCCGGGTGGTAACCCGAGGTGAGGCTCACCGAGACCCCCAACCGCTCCATAAAGGCTCTCCAGACCCTGGAGGTAAATTGGGGACCCCGATCAGACACAATATCCTCGGGTACCCCGTAGTGCCGGAACACATGGGTGAATAGTGCTTCGGCGGTTTGCAGGGCAGTAGGAAGGCCCGGCATGGGGAGCAAACGACAGGCCTTAGAAAACCGGTCCACAACGACCAGTATAGTGGTGTTCCCCTGTGAAGGAGGAAGGTCAGTAATGAAATCCACCGAGAGGTGAGACCATGGTCGTTGTGGAACGGGCAGGGGTAGTAACTTACCCCTAGGCAGATGTCTAGGCGCCTTACACTGGGCGCACACCGAGCAGGAGGAAACATAAACCCTCACATCCTTCGCCAACGTGGGCCACCAGTACTTGGCACTAAGACAGTGCACTGTCCGGCCGATACCAGGATGTCCAGAGGAGGGTGACGTGTGAGCCCAATAGATCAATCGATCCCGAACCTCGAGCGGAACGTACTTCCGACCCTCAGGGCATTGCGGTGGACTAGGGTCGGTGCGTAACGCCCGCTCGAGCTCAGCATCGACCTCCCACACTACCGGTGCCACCAGACACGACTCCGGCAGTATGGGAGTGGGCTCCACGGACCTCTCCTCCGTGTCATACCGCCGAGACAGCGCATCTGCCTTACCGTTCTGTGACCCAGGGATGTACGTGATCTTAAATGTAAACCTGGTCAAGAACATATTCCATCTTGCCTGGCGAGGGTTCAGCCTCCTCGCTGCCCGGATGTACTCCAGGTTACGGTGGTCCGTCAAAATGAGGAAAGGGTGTTGAGCCCCCTCAAGCCAGTGCCTCCACACCTTTAGGGCCTGTACCACGGCTAACAGCTCCCTGTCCCCTACGTCATAGTTCCGCTCCGCCGGACTGAGCTTCTTAGAATAAAAAGCACAGGGGCGGAGTTTAGGTGGCGCGCCAGACCGTTGTGAAAGCACGGCTCCTAGACCGGCCTCTGACGCGTCCACCTCTACCTGGAACGGCAAAGAGGGATCCGGATGCGCCAGCACCGGGGCCGAGGTAAACAGGTCCTTCAGCCTCCCAAACGCCCTGTCCGCCTCGGCCGACCACTGCAGACGCACCGGACCCCCCTTCAAAAGAGACGTGATGGGAGCTGCCACCTGTCCAAAACCCCGGATAAACCTCCTGTAGTAATTTGCAAACCCCAAAAACTGCTGCACCTCCTTCACAGTGGTTGGTGTTTGCCAATTACGCACGGCCAACACCCGGTCTACCTCCATCTTCACCCCTGACGCAGACAACTGATACCCCAAAAAGGAGACCGACTCCTGGAAAAACAGACACTTCTCTGCCTTAACATACAGGTCGTGCTCCACCAGCCTCCGCAACACTCGGCGCACCAGGGCCACATGCTCGACACGGGTAGGCGAGTACACGAGAATGTCATCTATGTACACAACCACCCCCTGCCCCTGCATGTCCCTGAAGATCTCATCCACGAATGATTGGAAAACTGACGGAGCGTTCATCAACCCGTATGGCATGACCAGATACTCGTAATGGCCCGAGGTGGTACTAAAGGCTGTCTTCCATTCATCGCTCTCCCTGATGCGCACCAAGTTGTACGCGCTCCTGAGATCTAATTTAGTGAAGAAGCGAGGTAGCCCCTACGGAAACGCCTAAACATCTACCCACACACTGGGCAGACCACTCCATCAGAGCCCTCTCCTGCCACGAAATAGATGGGTTATGGGTACTCAACCAGGGCATGCCCAGCACCACCGGATACGCAGGAGAGTCAATCAGAAATAGCTGAATCATCTCCTGATGACCCCCCTGCGCACACATCCTAAGTGGCGCAGTGACCTCCCTGATCAAGCCCGCACCCAACGGACGACTATCTAGGGCATGAACGGGGAAAGGGACATCAACAGGAAGAAGGGGAATCCCTAAAGCTAAACAAAACTTCTTATCAATAAAATTCCCAGCCGCGCCTGAATCTACCAGCGCCTTATGCTGGGAATGAGGTGCTACCTGTGGAAAACGCACAGGTATACAGAAATGTGCAACAGAGAGCTCTGGGTGAGTGGGGCGCCTACTCACCTGGAAGGAATCCCCAGTGCGGGACCTGTCGTCCTCTCCCCTAGGAGGCCATCCCCAGCACCTAGCCGCGGTGTGTCCTCCCCGACCACAGTTGGTGCAGGGGATGGACCCCCTAGTAAGCCGACCCCTCCTCTCTCTAGCGCCAGCGCCCCCGAGCTCCATGGGGCACGGCTCGGAGGCGCTGGAGGGTGAAATGGACGGACCCCCCTCGGGACGTCCGCGGGTAGCTAGCAGGTTATCCAGCCTGATGGACATGTCGACCAACTGGTCGAACGTGAGGCTGGTGTCCCTACAGGCCAGCTCCCGACGGACGTCCTCTCGTAGACTACATCTGTAGTGATCGACGAGAGCCCGATCATTCCACCCTGCATCTGCCGCTAGAGTACGGAATTCGAGGGCGAACTCCTGAGCACTCCTCCTCCCCTTCCGGAGGAAGACCAGACGCTCCCCCGCCGCTTTCCCCTCCGGGGGATGGTCAAACACCGCCCTGAAGCGGCGGGAGAACTCCTCGTAGGTTATGGTGTCCGCGTCGATCCTCCTCCACTCCGCGTTGGCCCATTCCAACGCCTTCCCGGACAGGCAGGAGATCAGGGCGGACACGCTCTCATGTCCCGAGGGCGCCGGGTGCACGGTGGCCAGGTACAGCTCCACCTGGAGAAGGAAACCCTGGCACCCAGCCGCGGTTCCATCGTAAGCCCTCGGGAGCGAGAGTCGGACTCCTCGGGGTTCCGGTGCGGGAATAGGCTGACTGGCCGATGGTGCTGGCAGGGCGGGTGGCGGTGGAGGCGTCCCCCAGCCTCGGATGGTGGTGATCACCTCCTGCAGTGCGGTCCCCATCTGCAGGATCTGGTCACCTTGTTCCCGGACCCTGTCCTCCAGTGTCGCCTGGGCTGCTGCGGCTCCTGCTGACGCGTGCTGTAGGTGGGTGCAGTGGTGGAATCAAACGCAGGACACAGACGGATAATCCAACAGACTTTAGTGATCGCCAAACACGGCAATAGGTCCACTCTTGCCCGAAGGCGAAATACGCACGAAGGCGAACAAAACAAAAGCGCACAAACAGGTGCGTAAATACTCCAACAGTGGAGGGAAGCTCAACCGAGCGAAATACAGGAAACACGCCCTATACACGACTGACAAAAACCAATAACACACAACACTAGACAAACACAACGAGAAACTTATAGAACACTAATTAGGCTTAAACAAGAACAGGTGTGACCACAAACAGACAAAAGCAAACGAACATGAAACATACAACGGTGGCAGCTAGTATTCCGGAGACAACGAACGCCGAAGCCTGCCCGAACAAGGGAGAGAGGCAGCCTCGGCCGAAACCGTGACAACTGAAGGTCCAATCAGAGTGTGATCTCAACCTGTCAAATCCCATCTTCAGTTCCAATGAAGAGAGTAAAATAAGGTTAGCTGGCTCTGTCAGAGTAAGAAATATTGCTACAATCTTTCTTGACTAGTGGAAGGCAAAACTTAGTGAGGCAAAAATAAGTGCTTCCAAGGGAGACTTCTCTTGACTGTATATCGCTGGCCAGTATTGTGCGCAGACAGCTTACCCAACATGATGGCATCTAACCTGGAGGTGCAGGGGTCTGGGATGTCTCCCTCAGCATCAGGGAGGCTGTCTGTGGGGAGTGTCACTGTGGGCTCAATTGGAACACTTGTACCACGATTACCTAAGACAGACAGAATTGGTGGAAGGGATTAGACTTAGAGGATGAAAGCATTATATGTGACATTTGAGCCCTTTTGTAATTATAAAGTATTCTGATAAGGAGGTACTACTGTGTATGGCAAGCCAGCAGGTCAGAAAATCCTTAGGTCAAACTAAGGCTCCACTCACCATACATAGCTTGGATGCCTTTTACGTCATCGGGATGCAGACGGAAGTTGTTACGGTAGCCGGTGTAAAGAGGGGCCATCAGAGCACTTCTGTATTGCGAGTGGCCTAAGCCCAGGGCGTGGCCTATCTCATGGGCAGCGATGATACGCAGGTTAGTGCCGTAGAACATGCCCTCGGTCCAAAACTCATCCTCGTCAAAATGAACAATCCCTGACTCTGGGTGTTCAGCATGGGCCAGCACGTGACCTACAAATGTAAAATATTTTACATTATTTTATATTCCAATTAGGGGTACAACTACTGTGTGTGTGTGTGTGTGTGTGTGTGTGTGTGTGTGTGTGTGTGTGTGTGTGTGTTAAACTATTGTAACTCCAATCCCAACCCAATTGTTTCGGGCCCATAGGCAGACTCACCCCTCCCGTCGAAAGGCACGGCACAAGTGGCATCTTTCGCGTGGAATGAGATCCTGATGTCGGCTCGTCCATACTCAACCTCTCGGAAGCTCAGGGGAGCCACATCGCTCCAATACTTAAAGGCAGAGCGGATGGCCCTCTTTGTCTCACTCTTCCGCATGTCTGGAGTATAGTTGTAGATGCGCCAGGTCAGGCTTCTCTTGCGCCAGTAGCCTACAGTAGAGACAAAAAACATGCATTTTACTACAAACACCTGTCTAGACGAGAAAACACAATTGTGTAGGTGAAGATTATTCTTATTAGGTGAGGATTATTATTTATTATAATTTAATGTGCATAGTGTCTCCCAAAGTTTTAAGTTCCAACCAACCATCTGGGAAACACTGGTCCATCCCACCCCCACATACAATATCCTGTCCACATTTCTTCACTCACCCAGCACTCTGTACTTGAGGGTTTTCTGGTTGAATGGGTCCTCTATGCCACAGCGAGGCTGTCTCATCATCTCTAGGGTGGCCTTGTCAATCACTCCAGTGACAGGCAGGTCTGTCACCCTCTGGAACACCCTAGGGAAGTGAAGGACTGAAAGCTCCAATAGCAGATACAGCATTTGTGTACTATAAATGGAAGGCAAGGAAGCATTTCCTTCCAATGGGAAATGTTATGCTAAATAATTGCATTGATTGTAGTACATATATCAATGTGACTTGCAAAAGGCTATAGAATAGAGCTGTGTTTGGATCTGTATTCATAAAGGAGCATTTAGAGTAAGTGTGTTCAGATTTTTTGTGTTGGGGAAGAGGAATCACACATTGCCATGAAGAATCACACGTGTAAGTTGTTGTTGTGTTCATAGACTGTAGTTTGTGTTGGTGAGGATCTACTTTACCTGAGGGCCTGAATTACATCTTCTGTCTGGAAGCCCTGGTTCTGAGGATCCAGTGAAGTGTGCAGATAGCCATACTTCATCAGGTATGCCTGGTAACACAATAACCACAGTGGGGATAAAAGGGTTAACTTTAGAAGTTTCAAAGTGCTCTTATTCACCTCTAACATTGTGAATGACAACAGCCACAAGAGAAACCAATGTTGATTCCGTTGCAGTCTACCAGAAAGACTAAAAGCCACAGGTCACACATATGGCACTTTGCATCATACAATGGGTATATGCATGGTCCAGTTCAGATAACGTTTGTATTATGACAATAATGGAGAAAGATAGATACACTGCTATAACAGCCTCCACTCTTCTGGGAAGGCTTTCCACTAGATGTTGGAACATTGCTGCGGGGACTTGCTTCCATTCAGCCACAAGAGCATTAGTGAGGTCACTGATGTTGGGCAATTAGGCCTGGCTCGCAGTTGGCGTTCCAATTCATCCCAAAGGTGTTCGATGGGGTTGAGGTCAGGGCTCTGTGCATGCCAGTCAAGTTCTTCCACACCGATCTTGACAAACCATTTCTGTATGGACCTCACTTTGTGCACGGGGGCATTGTCATGCTGAAACAGGAAAGGGCCTTCCCCAAACTGTTGCCACAAGGTTGGAAGCACAGAATCGTCTAGATTGTCATTTTATGCTGTAGCATTAAGATTTCCCTTCACTAGAACTAAGGGGCCTAGCCCGAACCATGAAAAACAGCCCCAGACCATTATTAAACTTAAAAGTTGGCACTATGTATTGGGGCAGGTAGCGTTCTCCTGGGGTCTGCCAAACCAGTACGTTGGACTGCCAGATGGTGAAGCGTGGTTCATCACACTTTCCATTGCTCCAGAGTCCAATGGTGGCGAGCTTTACACCTCTCCAGCCGACGCTTGGCATTGTGCATGGTGATCTTAGGCTTGTGTGTGGCTGCTCGGCCATGGAAACCCTTTTCATGAAGCGCCCGGCGAACAGTTATTGTGCTAACATTGCTTCCAGAGGCAGTTTGGAACTCAGTAGTGAGTGTTGCAACCGAGGACAGATGATCTTTACGCACTACGCGCTTCAGTACTCGGCGGTCCCATTCTGTGAGCTTGTGTGGCCTATGACTTCGTGGCTGAGCCGTTGTTGCTCCTAGACGTTTCCACTTCACAATAACAGCACTTACAGTAGACCGCGGCAGACCTAGCAGGGCAGAAATTTGAGGAACTGACTTGTTGGAAAGGTGACATCCTATGACGGTGCCATGTTGAAAGTCACTGAGTTCTTCAGTAAGGCCATTCTACTGCCAATGCTTGTCTATGGAGATTGCATGGCTGTGTGCTCGATTTGATACACCTGGCAGCAACGGGTGTGGCTGAAATAGCCGAATCCACTAATTTGAAGGGGTGTCCACATACTTTTGTATATCTAGTGTATATTATAATATATTTGAAAGAAGCTGGAAAATTCCTACCGTTGCTTCAGTGACCTCCATCCTCCTGTCCATCACTCCTGTCATTACGCACAGCACGATAGCCATGAGGACCGTCATCTGCAGAAGGTAACCCATTTTGCAAAAGTTCTACGCAGGAAAAACAGCTGTAAGTGTTAGGAAAGCCAAGCAAATATGAGGTATGTAACACACTTTGCAGGACGCTCTTGTCTTAAATACTTAGAAAAATATATATTTATCAAACATCTTTAGGGAGAAAAAATAATTTGTCCTTCACTGTTATCCGTTACTCTCCCAAAACTTTACTCTACTGGTTTACTTCCGTGTGTTCTGGAGTTTTATAACTCAAGTGCCGAGTGAGTCAGCCCTGACCCACTGTGATGATCCATCTCTGAGGAATTGGCCAAGAGCAATGGCCAAAGGAGAGTTTCACTTTGAAACAGTAAAATTATGCAGCTGTCGACCATTTTTTGAATCACTCACACACCCCCATGTGCCTCCTCCTTCTCACGAGGGACACATAGGTGGGAGACTTCAGCCTATAGGCCTATATTTCCCCAGTACCTATGGGATTTTTTTCTAAGTTTCCAGTAATGCCAAATGTGACTTAGGCCTACATTGTTGATTTTTTGTTGTTGTTGTAAGTTCCTGATAATTGTTTCCTCCACAGGGACACCGTAGGGAGCTACAAACGTCAAGGCATGAGAGACATTGGCAACGTTTCACATCGATTCCCGACGGTGCTCACCACACGTAGGCCAATATTTACCACATGTCATTGGCAGAAAGGAGTTGTAACATTGCACAATTGGTCACTAAGCGAAGCTTTTCCATAGTACAGTAATGCCCAAGCCCAACCAACTGTGTCAGTCAGGTGTCAGTCACTGTGTGGTGGTTAAAATATGACCTTGCAGCAGTAGGATCAGGACGTGATAGTGATGGCATAGGCCTATCAAGCACATTCCAAGACTTTGTCAAGTGAATATAAAATACTTAATGAATGAATGTTAGGCTTTATGTCATTATGCCTTGAATAGAAAGTATGTGGGGTAATTGGCCTTTATAGACCACATTTGATCAAGTGTTCCTTTCAAGTAGCTGTGCAAGCAAGCCCATATTCAACATCAATCATTTGACCTATGCAAGGGTAGTAAGTCCTCCATTACTATCTATCATAACTGTTTAGATTTTGCGATGTTTGATACTAACAATGTCATGGTCGGTCAATGTATTCCAGCATAGATTTTCACACAGTCCTGGTGCCCTGAGGGCTTAAAGAGACACTGGAGAAATGCTGAGTTGAAGTCCACACCATAGCTGCACTGCACAGCTGCACATTCCTCATCATTCAACAAGGTGCCATTGACAGATACTACTGACCAAACCACAGAACTACCTCAGGGCCAGAAATACAGTGCCCTGTTTTTGAAGCAAGAGTGTGAAAATGCAAAAAATTTGCTAATATACAGTAAGTGCAACACCAAAAACCATGGTCTCAGTCGTTAGTTTCTCATTCTGACTGGACAGCTTTGGAGCCCCTTTTTACGTAGCATTTCATCCTCCTCCACCTTGTCATCATTAGGAGGATATGCTACAATAATGTTAAAACCCCCACACACTTTTCAAGGACGTACTCAGGTTGGCATTTCAGAAATCAGTTCTGCAGCTTAACCCAATGAGTCCCACCGTAATGCCTACGAGTTTCGAACTTCTAACCCATTTTAAAGAATACCTTTCAAGAAAAAACATTTGTTTCATCAAAAAAATGATGTTTTAGGCTTAGTTATAGTGAAATACATCAATTCTGGTCTTGATTTTGACAGCTCGTTGCAAAAGTTATATATTTTGGTCTTTTAGTAGTAGATCTAGCTATTTTTGCCCCTAGTGGCTCAACTCTACCATTGAAATCGTGATGAAGAGGCACCTACGTCATCTCAAGGGAGGGGTTCGGTTTAAAATACACTCCTTTCTAGATGTGCTTGGTGGTACCAACTGAAGGCTTACTATAAAAGCAAAGGTGGTTCAGTTCGCTTGAACGCTTGCTACGTTGCAGAACGGTTTGTATGAATGACACATTTCCTCAAAACGCTCTTGTATGTTCTTGAACAGACTTTAAGGTACTGTGCAGTTGCTGCAGTTTGGTGGGTGTAGCGACCACTGGTGGCGACTGGCGAGGTATGAATTGAAGCAGAGTGATATACTGTATTTAAATGGCAGTGGCCATGCTGACAGCATTCCCCTACCCACAACCCAACCCCTCCCCGTTTTTTAACTGGTCGTTCAGTACAGCACAGTTTTTGTTCAATTGAACGTTCCAGAAAGTAAAAACTTACTGAACGCAACCCAGGTGACAGCGCACCTTATTTGGCAATGGTCTTGTTAAGTGGACTATTCCAAAATATTTTGCATGATGCTTCCTTGACTAGACATTACTACTGACGTTACACAAAATTCAAAAGGCAGTAAGGCACATTTCCGCTTACTGTTTCACACACATCTACAGTGTCTTCAGAAAGTATTCAGACCCCTTGACTTTTTCAAAATGTTTTTGTGTTACAGTCTGAATTTAAAATGGATTCAATTGAGATGTTTTGTTCACTGGCCTACACACAATACCCCATAATGTCAAAGTGGAATTATGTTTTTCTAAAAAAAAAAGTACATAAAAAAATAATAATGAAAAGCTGACATGTTGAGTTAATATGTATTCAATCCCTTTGTTATTGTCACGTTCGTTGAATGACGGGTCAGACCAAGGCGCAGCGTGATATACGTACATGTTTATTAAACTAAATAAACACACGACAAAACAATAAACGAAACGAAACGTGAAGTCCAAGGTAGACCACACAACATACCTTACAAGGAACAAGATCCCACAACTAGACAGTGCCAATAGGCTGCCTAAGTATGGTCCCCAATCAGAGACCATGAGCGACAGCTGCCTCTGATTGGGAACCACACCGGCCAACATAGAACTATACATGCTAGATCACAAACATAGAAAACGCACAACAAGGAATATACACACCCTGACTCAACATATAAGGAATATACACACCCTGACTCAACATATAAGGAATATACACACCCTGACTCAACATATAAGGAATATACACACCCTGACTCAACATATAAGGAATATACACACCCTGACTCAACATATAAGGAATATACACACCCTGACTCAACATATAAGGAATATACACACCCTGACTCAACATATAAGGAATATACACACCCTGACTCAACATATAAGCGTCCCCTGAGTCAGGGCGTGACAGTTATGGCAAGCCTAAATAAGTTCAGGAGTAAAAATGTGCTTAACAAGTCACATAATAACTTGCATGGACTGACTGTGTGCAATAATAATGTTTAACATGATTTTTGAACGACTACCTCATCTCTGTACCCCACACACAATTATCTGTAAGGTCCCTCAGTCGAGCAGTGAATTTCAAACACAGATTAAACCATAAAGACCAGGCAGGTTTTTCAATGCCTCGCAAAGAAGGGCACCTATTGGTAGATGTATTTTTTTTTTTAAGCAGACATTGAATATCCCTTTGAGCTTGGTGAAGTTATTAATTACACTTTGGATGGTGTATCAATACACCCAGTCACTATAAAGATACAAGCGTCCTTCCTAACTCAGTTGCCGGAGAGGAAGGAAACCAGTCCGGGATTTAAACAATGGCCAATGGTGACTTCAAAACAGTTACAGGTGGCTGTGATAGGAGAAAACTGAGGATGGAGCAACAACATTGTAGTTACTCCACAATACTAACCTAATTGACAGAGTGAAAATATTCCAAAACATGCATCCTGTTTGCATCAAGGCACTAAAGTAATACTGCAAAAACTGTGGCAAAGCAATTAACTTTTTGTCCTGAATATAAAGTGTTATGTTTGGGGTAAACCACTTTCCATTTTTTCAAGCATAGTCGTGGCTGCATCATGTTATGGGTATGCCTGTAATCGTTAAGGACTGGGGAGCTTTTCTGGATTCAAAAGAAATGTAATGGAGCTAAGCACAGGCAAAATCTTAGTGGAAACCCTGGTTCAGTCTGCTTTCTACCAGACACTGGGAGAGGAATTCACCTTTCAGCAGGACATTAACCTAAAGGACAAGGCCAAATATACACTGGAGTTGCTTACCAAGAAGACAGTGTATGTTCCTGAGTGGTTGAGTTAAAATCAAATCAAATCAAATTTTATTGGTCACATGCGCCGAATACAACAGGTGCAGACATTACAGTGAAATGCTTACTTACAGCCCTTAACCAACAGTGCATTTATTTTAAACAAAAAAAGTAAGAATAAAACAACAACAAAAAAAATGTTGAGAAAAAAAGAGCAGAAGTAAAATAAAGTGACAGTAGGGAGGCTATATATACAGTAAAATAAAGTGACAGTAGGGAGGCTATATATACAGGGGGGTACCGTTGCAGAGTCAATGTGCGGGGGCACCGGCTAGTTGAGGTAGTTGAGGTAATATGTACATGTGGGTAGAGTTAAAGTGACTATGCATAAATACTTAACAGAGTAGCAGCAGCGTAAAAAGGATGGGGTGGGGGGGCAGTGCAAATAGTCCGGGTAGCCATGATTAGCTGTTCAGGAGTCTTATGGCTTGGGGGTAGAAGCTGTTGAGAAGTCTTTTGGACCTAGACTTGGCACTCCGGTACCGCTTGCCGTGCGGTAGCAGAGAGAACAGTCTATGACTAGGGTGGCTGGAGTCTTTGACAATTTTGAGGGCCTTCCTCTGACACCGCCTGGTATAGAGGTCCTGGATGGCAGGGAGCTTTGCCCCAGTGATGTACTGGGCCGTACGCACTACCCTCTGTAGTGCCTTGCGGTCAGAGGCCAAGCAGTTGCCATACCAGGCGGTGATGCAACCAGTCAGGATGCTCTCGATGGTGCAGCTGTAGAATTTTTTGAGGATCTGAGGACCCATGCCAAATCTTTTTAGTCTCCTGAGGGGGAATAGGCTTTGTCGTGCCCTCTTCACGACTGTCTTGGTGTGTTTGGACCATGATAGTTCGTTGGTGATGTGGACACCAAGGAACTTGAAGCTCTCAACCTGTTCCACTACAGCCCCGTCGATGAGAATGGGGGCGTGCTCAGTCCTCTTTTTTTTCCTGTAGTCCACAATCATCTCCTTTGTCTTGGTCACGTTGAGGGAGAGGTTGTTGTCCTGGCACCACACGGCCAGATCTCTGACCTCCTCCCTATAGGCTGTCTCATCGTTGTCGGTGATCAGGCCTACCACTGTTGTGTCGTCGGCAAACTTAATGATGGTGTTGGAGTCGTGCCTGGCCATGCAGTCATGGGTGAACAGAGAGTACAGGAGGGGACTGAGCACGCACCCCTGAGGGGCCCCCGTGTTGAGGATCAGTGTGGCAGATGTGTTGTTACCTACCCTTACCACCTGGGGGCGGCCCGTCAGGAAGTCCAGGATCCAGTTGCAGAGGGAGGTGTTTAGTCCCAGGATCCTTAGCTTAGTGATGAGCTTAGAGGGCACTATGGTGTTGAATGCTGAGC